GGAGAATTCTGGGAGTTGAAGTCCACCCATCTTAAAGTTGCCAAGGCTGAGAAACACTGCTCTATAGTCATGGATCTCCTCTAAACTGAAGACTTCCACTCAGTTTCTATTCATGTCTTCTATCATCTTTCCCTAATCTCGTGGACCTCTGGATAGATTGGACTTTGCTTCCCATAATTCCCAAAGCTGAGAAACAGGGATGTCAAGATACCCTTAAAAAGTATTCACAGTTGCTGTTGAAGCAAAATATGGCAACTAGGCTGCTAATTAGTGCAAGATATATGCTTCTGTATTTTTTTTTTTTATTGTTGTATTGTCTAGTTGTTTTACATTGTTTTACCTGTTTGTAAGCCACCGAGAGTCATAATACGAGATGGAAAAATATTCATTGGAAAAATAAATAAATATTTCCCTGAACCAGACAATCAAATCAGTCCAGTTCCTGGGTCAAAAGGAAACTCTACTAGAGCACGAATGACTCTACTATCCCCTAAATCACTAAGATGTATTTGTGGAGCACGTCACAAACCACAATGCTGGCCAATCCTCCCCGGATCAGGATTTGTCAACCACAAACAAAGCTCACCCAATAATCCAACAAGCTAAGTATCCTCAGTTTGGACCATACATGAAAGCCGCTCCTCTTTCTGGAGGTTGAAGGACCCAAGAAACTTCAGAACCTTAAATGATGGTGGAGACCAAATTTGAGAGCGCTTGCATCCCACGCATGTTAAACAGCGTCTTTGGTGTTAGGTTATTATTTTATCCTTGGCTAAAAGGGCCCCTTCCAACCCACCCAAAGGTGGTGGTGATGGAATGAAAGATTTAATGTCCTACCTCCAGGATAAATTCCTCTTGTTCCACTTGGTGGCTCCCTGGGCATAGCGTTTCCTCCTCGTCTTCGATTCCACAAGATCCGGCAAAGAGCAACGGGGTGTCTTCATCAGTTTGAGGGTGGCTTCATCTAGAGACCCCCCCAAAGACCCGAAAGAGAGAAAATTGGATCTTCCTCAACTCATATAGGGCATGACTATAACATCCCACTTGGGATATATTTTTTTTAAACCTATACGAACCTAATAGTAGAAACCGATGAGAGATCTGTTTGTAAGAGCTACCAAACTTGTTTATACCTGTGAAGATTGGAGGTCACTCAGATATTTCTTCCCTTTTTCTTTTCTTTTTTACTTTGTGGTTCTTTGCATTTTTTATGCTCTCGTTTTACTTTCCTTTCTCTCCCGGAGTTTCGTTGGTACTCGGTTTTAGTACTGTCATTAAAATCTTTCGTAAAAATGATATATCACCCGAAGAAACATATCAGTGGAAACCGTAACAAGGACAGCAAGAAGCACACAGTCACAGCAACTCCAAAATTAAAAAAATGGAGAAGCCCCACCTGGAGCAGTTATTTGAAAAAGCTTTAGGAACAGAGCAGAAAGTTGCAGGATTACTTTCACCAATACAGAACAGCCTGATTTCCTGTCCCTTATATACTTTTCAAGGTGGGAAAAGCAATGATTTTAGGGGACTGGAGATTCAACTGTATGTGTAAGCAGTTCTTAATTTGTGGCCACTCTGTCCCCCTTTGGACACTCAGACGATTCAGAAGCCAGCCAGTCATTTCCAATTGCACACTTTTCTGACAGAATTGTGTGCAGGTACCCATGATGAAAATCAGCCTCTGCTAACTTAACGTTTCTATTTTGGGTTAACCCATTCCTCCCCGCAATTCCCAAAAGGGAGGGGGAAAAATGCCCAACTTTCTTTGGCCCTTCCATGACTCTTCTGGCCCCCCCAGGCGAAGATCCTTGGAAATCAAATCAATTTACCTGCCAGCAGTGAGAAAGAAACTAGTAAAGCTCAAGGAGGCTTTAAAGAGAGCAACACAATCCAGAGGGTATTCGAAGAGAGACGATGTTGAGAATTGCTTTGCTTTTCCTTCATGGAAGGGAAAAAAAAAAAAACTGTAGCAAAAGGGCAAAAAGAAGAATTTCATTTGCAATTCTTTTCTGCAAATGTTCTTTCAATTGGCCTTTCCGAGGGAAGAGACTGCACGCTCGGCTTTAAACGTTAAGCGGCGTGCCTTCTCCATCTCAACGCACGGAGTGAATGCACTTGGAAAAAAAAAATCAACCGTTCTTCCTTTTGGCTCCCAGGCAACTCAGAGCATCTCGTAAGATGGGAAAGAGGAAAAAAAATTACATCTATTTAAGACCCAAGGCCGAGAGCTCTGGCAATGGTTGCTCCCAGGCTGGGGCAAATAGCTGTTGAACCCTTAAGCGGCTGATCGGCAGCCCCACCCTCCTTGTTTGCAAAGGGACGGGACTTTGTAATGAGCATCAAGTCACTCCAGGGCAGAAGATGGCACAGGGTACAGAAAACCATGCCAGTTTCACAAACCAGGCAACCCGGCCTCTTAATCTTCGTGCTAGCAAGGTGGAGATCTTGTACCAAAAGGGATTTCTCCACTCCTCGCCTTCCTATACTTCAGACAAGTGGGTTTCTTTCCAACAAGGACGTACGAGTGGGATGGAAAATGGGTGGGAGAAAACCGCCGGACTACCCCCCCCCCGCTCTTCCAAACAGAACAGAGAATCAGAAACACCACCGAAAGAAATTGGAAAGAAATTCTCAAGCCTCCTGAGTGTAAAGTAGAAAAACAGAGGCCTCTTTGAGCACGGAAAGACATTTGGGGGTCACGTTAGTTTTTTTTTGGTTTGCACAACCCTGCTTTTGAGGAATTGGGTGTCTCCTTCCTCTATGGCCCGAGCTACTTTTAACCCATAGCCAGACCCACTGCATCACTGGGACGCAGGCTTTGCTATAGCAGGAAAGGGCTAAAGGCAGCCAAAGAGAGATTGGGGTCTTTGGTGTCAAGATCACCCTGCGACTAATCCAAGTCACGCACAGTGAAAAGAAGTAGGGGGTTGCAAGAAAAAGGAGGGTGACACATTGCTGCCTCACCATGGCCGCCCTCTGCCAACTGCGTTGCATCCTCCGTACCCCGCTTCCTGCTTTTAGCAACAGCAATGTGGGATCCCAGGCTCTGACTCACAATGAGGTCATTCCTTTCTTTTCTCTCTCTCCCCACCACAAATCCAGCAAATATATTCCCCCTTGAGCATCATGCAGGAGGGAGAAGAGGAAAACCAGAGGGAATATCTCAACAGGGGCATTTGTGTAGAGCAGTGTTTCTCAACCATGGCAACTTTAAGATGTGCAGACATCAGCTCCCAGAATTCCCCAGCCAGCATGGCAAGCTTCAGATGTGTGGACTTCAACTCCCAGAATCCCCCAGGCCGCATGGCAAGCTTCAGATGTGTGGATTTCAACTCCCAGAATCCCCCAGCCAGCATGCATTCTGGGGAATTCTGCAGAATTCTGGGAGTTGAAGTCCACATGTCTTAAACCTGCTAAGGATGAGAAATGCTGCTTTAGAGATCAAAAGCGCCCCAAATCCTTCAAAATACTTGTCCTTCAGCAAATCCTTTCCCCCTACTCTCTTTTTTTTCTCTTCTCATGTTTGAGTTTATTAAAATGTTTCTCTGTAGGTAGGAACTTGTCTACATTATTTAGAGGGTTTTTTCCCCCTCTTTTTAATATAGCCTTTTGCTTGTACTATCCAAATTGCATTTACACATGGGGGCTTTCGGGCTTTGTTCTCCCCCATCCGTACCTTAAGAAAATCAGTATCATTCTATTTTTTTAAAGCGGCAAAGACGTTTACCCATTGGTTCCCCGTGTTTGTTCAAACTTCACATTTCTTTTTATCACCGCAAATGGCAAGAATGGGAACACTCATCCAGAAAGGAAAAACGCTTTAGTTCTGCCTTGGGCTGACTTGACTGGATTAATTAGCAAAGAAAGAAAGAAAGAGGGGAGGACTTTTCCCCTCTTTCGTTTGCAATATGATTTAGGGAAGGAAGCAAGAGCTACAATTGGTTGAGTTTACAGACTCTGAATGGGGGGAAAGAGAAGCAAACAGGGTACCTGTGTGAAATAATTGCTTGCTTGGGACTGTGGGTGGATTGCAACAGGTGGCCACACTCCTGAGCCGTGCGATGGTTTCCTTAGAACCCGGAGCACGGGATTCTCATGTGCAAGCATTTTCACACTTCCAAAGGAAGCCACAGTTGTGGAGTAAAAGCATGCAGAGATTTTCTTTAGTTCTGGATCTCCATTGGCTGAAAGAATGGGCTTGGGCCACCCGTAGCTCCTTGACACCAGTACCCACCCTGGGAATGGCCCACACTCCCTTTCAATATTTTCTTTTTACGCCTCTCAGCACAAGCCTTGTGCATCATTTTAGAGGAGGGAATGGAGTGTGGGATGGGTGGGGAGGAACCGTGTACCAATCAGTTAGTCAACTTTATTGATTTAGTCTATTGACCGTATCAGATAGAAAGGAAGTAAAGTAAAAAGCCATTGTAAACATACAGATATGTACCAAGTGTAGCTCCCGGAGACTTTCAGGTCTCATTAAATGCCACAAAGTTCTAGCACTTGGAGGAAGGAAATATCCTTGTGGACAAGCAGTGCTGAAATGTCAAAACCCAAGGAGGGGTTTTCGTTTTCATGTGCACTTATGGGTTCAGCCCCTTCTCATTATTACAACCATCACCAAGAGGCAGCATAGTACAGACTTTTCGTGCCCCAGACCTGAATGAAGGCTTAGCGTTCAAATTCATAACTGCACAGGAAGTTCAGTGAGGTTTCAGCCCCAGGCGTGTTTATCGATGGAGTTCAAATGGGCATGTTTATTAGTTGAGTTCAAATGGACATGCTTGCTTGTTGAGTCCAAGGGGGTCATACTAAACCCTGAGTCACAATCTCATTTGCTTGTTTGTGGCTTAACCCATTAGGTGAATCCAGCAATTATAGTGTGTAAACTAGGATTTATGTCATAACATATTGTGTAAACCCAATCAACTGTGGTTTATTCCATAAATTACAGCTTTAAAAACCATGGCTATATGTGAACTTGGCTACTATCCTGAATCTAATATAAGAACAGAAAAAAATCCATGCTGTGACAGACCCAAGGCCTATCTACTTCTGCTCTCTGTGTCCAATGATGGCCAACAGGTACAAGCATTGAGAGAGCTAGAGCTTGCAAGGTCAGGCACAAAGGACTTGAAGCTAGAGTGGTCTGTTACAATAACAATGCTTAGATGCCAACTACTTCTACTGCTGAGAATCTAGTGGTTCTCAATCCATTACAACCCAAGGATTGGAGAAAGATGTCGGATTGAATCTGGAGACTGCTAGACATAAGGCTTCAATCCTAGAGTTTGCAGCCACTGCTTTTCTTCATGACAAAGGGCATTTCTGCAATAAATGTATCTTATCAGAACTGTGTCCTTGAATCTCTGGCTGCAAGCCTTCAATTTCCAAGATTGGTCTAGGGGAAGCCCAAGAGGCATCAATAAATTACGGCCCAACTCTCAAGTATAGAAACTCTCCAACACAGAATGTTCTTCTTCCCGTTATGACAGATCTCCCTGGAGATATTGGAAATTCATCCAATGACTTCTGCATCAAAGCCTTTGCTTTAAGGAATGGAAACAGAAGTATTTCTCCCACCCCTTCCTGGTCCCTCACTGACCTAGAATACCAGTGGCTTCAAGGCCTCCAAACTGTTGCATCACCATGATGGCTTTGGTGAGCTCTTCTTGGGTCTGCAACTGTCCTGTGATGGGATCCGGCAGGGGCAGATAGCCAAACTTTGTCAGCCAATCCTATTCAAAAAGGAAAGGAGGGAGAAAGAAGAGGATTCAGTAAAGCCGAAAGCCTGATTCTGCTTCATCTAGTCTCACTCATTTAAATATCCATATATCTATGTTCCTTGTTAACAAATGGATGTGTCAAGACAGATCTGTGTACATTAGTTTAAGTAACAGAATCCAATGACCTTCATGCATTCCAGGGCTGACATTTAATTTTCTCAACCGACTAAGAAAACATCTTTGATTATGACATGGTGTACACCTCCATTTTTGATTTTCTACCTTGTTGGAACTGGCAGCTCATTAATTTGGGAGTTCAGCAGAGAGTAAGGAAAGATCCTAACACGAGCTGTAGCTACTCCCATTCTGAACAAACAAAAGGGTTTCTTTCACAAATGGGAATGTGTGGCACTTAGAAAGCGGGGAAAATGAGACAACGCAAAAGTAGATCTAGCCAACACTGTTGCAGAAGCACAAAGCATCGGAAGGGCCTGTTCACACCCTAAACTGTGTTGGAGCTTTTCTCAGGCTATTTATGGTTGCCTTTGGTTGCTAATCATCCATAATAGGTTTGATGTAATGATTAGAACGCCGAAGCAACATTTGCACGTCTAATGGAAGTTCTGCAGCGAGGCACCTCGGTCATTGCCATGACTACCCATTCAGCTTGTATGGAAAAGGAAACATGTGATGGGGCAGACATGTGACAGTCCCATCTCCACTCAACCATGACCCTTGTTATCTACCCTAGACAGTGAATCTCGTCGTGTGTGATAGAAGACCTTGATGCAGCTCAGACTGCTTCTCAGAAGGCAGACTCTCCCTGCCTTATTCAGACCTTCTTGCCAGAGGATACAGCCCCTGACTCCAACTTCCCCATCCGAGGCCGAGTCCTTGGCAGAAGGTCCATTTTTCCAGATCAACTACTTCAAAATCAGGTGAGGAACCTTTTAACAATTGGATCAGAACATCTAAGGCGTCCAACTAATTACAATGTAAGCCTCATTTGCTCCCTTGATGCTTCCATGGGTTCCCTGAGACAACAAACGTCCTTCTACATCTACCCAAGAATTCCAGCTAGTAGGGCTCCTTCGGAACTGTCCAAGGTACCATATTTATCTGTCTGGTGTACCGTCTAAAAGCTTCTTGTACTGAGTTTGTCAGCTGGAACCTGCATCTAGCTCAACTGGCCTTGACCTGCCTTGATTTGACTTCAGATGTTGCTGGCTTCCAGTGCAAGCTTCAAGCATCCACAGAAGGGGAGACAAGACCACTTCCTAACCTCGGCTTTCGCATCATGCAAGCATGCTGTTTTCAGAACATCTGCCTGAGAGATTCCAGTCTGGAGAAGTACCTGCAGTGCAGCTATTTTCAGCTTGACAAACAGTGGATGGTTGATTACTATGGGGTCAACTCTTTCTTTAGGAGGCAAAAGCAGCTGCTTCTAAAGTAAGGAAGCCTTGGTGACTTATCCTAAAGGTAGCATCTACATTTACTTTACTAAAGTGTGGTTGTCTCTATCCGGCAAAGGCTGGCCTTTTTCTCAGCCACCCCCTTCCTTACTTCAAAAGGCCCAAATATCCCTTTCATTTTGATTGTTACTATATTTCAATCTTCTGCGTATCCTGATCTCTGGAGAAGATGGTAATTGCTGTGACAACAAGAGTTTTCTTTACCGATATCCAAGATGTAGCAAACTATTGAGCTGGTAGGGCTGCGATCGATCCAAGCTTTCTATTTGTTCAATAGCCCCATTAACGTCGCTCTTTGTGATGATTGATGTCAGGCAGCAATGTCAGGTTAAAACACAACTGCTTGATTGCTTCATAGGTTAGCTGCCCCCAGGAGGGCTATTGGGGCACAATAGCAGATCATTCCCCTGATTGTCCTTCCCTCCCACCCACTTGGGTTTTACTTTCTTTAGCATTCAGGTTTCCACCACAGATTCAATCATCCTCGCACTGATGATGCAAAGGGGAATGAGAGGCGGCGTTTTGCTTCTAAAAGCAGAGACTTTATTTATTTAGTGAGTTTAGAAAAATCATACGCCTTCTACCATCTTAACAACTTTGGGAAGCTTCCAAGGAAAAGTAAAAACATTCATCAAATCCACATGAAAACAGATGGGTTCATGCAAATGTGAGTTCCTACTGATGTTCTTGCATCTGACGTTTAACTATGTGGTTTGCAGTTAAATATGAGGGAGGGAGGGAGGAAAGAAAGGGAGGGGGAAGGGAGGGAGGGAGGGAGGGAGGACAGTGAGAGAAGGGAGGGAGGAAAGGAAGAAAGGAAGAAAGGAAGGACAGTGAGAGGAGGGAGGGAGGAAAGGAAGAAAGGAAGAATGGGAGAAAGGAAGGACAGTGAGAGAAGGGAGGGAGGAAAGAAAGGAAGGGGAAAGGAGGAGGGAGGGAGGGTTTGTTGGCTGAAATGCTGAATTTATTTCTTCGAACACTCACAATATAGAAGTATGTCTCATCACACCTAAAGACAGCAGACTTGCTTAGGCGATACAAACCAGGCCATCTGGCATCTGCAATGCTAACACCCTACTGCCACTTAGTAGCAACTACCACCTAAAGGGAATCGATCACTTTACCCTATGGTAGGGCCGGCACTGTTGACATTGGAACTCATTCATCTATCCCATCTTTCTTTCATCCACTGCTTCTTCCCTACAACACTTGCTGTTTGTTCAATCTTTCCATCAATTCCTCTTTTAAATGACTTCCTTATAGAAACCTGTCCACCCTTCCTTCCTAGACCATCCCTTCCTTCATTGTTCCTTCATTCCTTCGTTCCTTCCTTCCCCTCCACCCAACCTCACAATCCCATCACTGACTGCTCTTCTCAGCTGATTTTAACTGCTCAACATCTCAAGAAGGTGTCTCTTCCGTCATGCTAGACGAATTTCCTAAAAGCCAGCCCAGAGATTTCTTGATTGCAGCAATTCATCCCTTTGCACAGTGAATGCGTTTCTGAGAGAAAATAGGTACCTAATTTGGTCCTGATGTCTCCTGACAAATCACCTCTGACAGATCAACCTATGCTGCCCCGTCAATGGCCAATGCTTGGCAGAGAATAATCAGCTTTTCTCCATTACAATGAGGTGGGGTTGCTAATCATTACAGAACCTTTGGGATGTTACTGTCAGAACCTGCATCACCCAACTGTTGTTGTTTTCCATTGTATTGCATTCGTTGGGAGTTGGATTGATTTGTTTCTGTCACTTGTACCTTT